ATGGATGGTCGTGATTAACGACGTCAAAACGACGTCGTTTGATCATGAGGCACTTGGACCGACAGAGCATTTGGGCCTGGATGTGGGAATTTTGTTTGGGCTACTGATTTTGGCCCAAATTTGGTCTCCAATTAAGACCATTTTTAATTTTTCCTTTTTCCCTTTTTTGGTATTTTTGTATTTATTTTTCTGATTTTATAAAATGCTAAAACAAAGCGAAGACCTAATTATACTATTTAACTCCTAAAATTACTTGTAACTCTATTTAAAAACAAATGCCATAATTAGTAATGCGATGAACTATTTTCTTGCAATTTTCTTTATAGTTTATTCTAAAACTAATTAATACTAAAATTGTGAAATTAAATCCCTAAATGCCAATGCATATTTTTTGGTATTTTCATATGGATTAAAATGCACAAATAAAAATGCAACAATTACCAAAGAATGCCACAAAATTCACAACAAATTATAACATACTAGAAAAGTTGTTTTGTTTGAAATTTTGGGAATTATTCATATATAAGGCAAAAATCACGTGCTCACAGCTGCCCCTCTTTGCCCGGAAACACGAAGAGTTTTCGTGCAAAGACAAGTGAACAGAGACGAACGATTTTTGCCTGTCTGCATATTTCGTGTGAAGCAATTTTGAAAAAGCTTGACCGCACCCTGCTTCAGAGGTTGCCTACATATCCTGGGCTAAACAGGAATCAGGTCAGTGTAGTTCGGGAAGGTTTGGTAGCTGGGACTACCAGGAGCTGTAATTTCACTACTGTTGTTGCTGCTACTGCTCGCTGACCTCCTTATTACACCGTGTCAAGATAAAAAGAAGCTAGTCTAAGCTATGAGTTACAAAAGGGTCCTATCCATGTCTTCTAACTCGCTCTTTGCGTTGCCTTGAACTTGTATCTTTCCACTGGAATTCTTGCGTTGTCGCCTGACATTGTGATTGTAGATGTTTCACCATTCCTCCGGGTGATGTTTGACTGCTGGTATTTGCAATATGTGCCTCTATTCTTCAGGCTGGCTCCTGATTGCTGGACTTGGAAAGTATTCCCTTGTTCTCTAGGTGGGCGCCTGATTGTTGAAACTTGAAAAGTATTCCCTTGTTCTCCAGGTGGGCGCCTGATTGCAAAAACTTGAAAAATATTCCCTTGTTCTCCAGGTGGGCGCCTGATTGCTAAAACTTGAAAAGTATTCCCTTGTTCTCCAGGTAGGCGCCTGATTGCTAAAACTTGAAACATATTCCCTTGTTCTCCAGGTGGGCGCCTGATTGCTAAAACTTGAAAAGTATTCCTTTGTTCTCCAGGTGGGCGCCTGATTGCTAAAACTTGAAAAATATTCCCTTGTTCTCCAGGTGGGCGCCTGATTGCTAAAACTTGAAAAGTATTCCCTTGTTCTCCAGGTGGGCGCCTGATTGCTAAAACTTGAAAACTATTCCCTTGTTCTCCAGGTGGGCGCCTGATTGCGAAAACTTGAAAAGTATTCCCTTGTTCTCCAGGTGGGCGCCTGATTGCTAAAACTTGAAAAATATTCCCTTGTTCTCCAGGTGGGCGCCTGATTGCTAAAACTTGAAAAGTATTCCCTTGTTCTCCAGGTGGGCGCCTGATTTCAACANGACATTTCAGGCCTTTGGCCAATCGATTTTGCGAAGTTGGAAATTTCTGAGCCTAGCAGAGTGTTAGCTTGCGCGGTCGCTCGTTCCTCATTATTGGAGCGTATCCATGATCGACAGTTTGATGATCCTCATTTGTGTGTCCTGAGAGACACGGTGTAGCGTGGAGGTGCCACGAAGGTGACCTTATATAGCGATGGTGTTTTGAGATTGCAGGGGCGAGTTTGTGTGCCCAATGTGGATGGGCTTCGAGAGTTGATTTTAGAGGAGGCCCATAGTTCTCGGTATTCTATTCACTCGGGCGCCGCGAAGATGTATCAGGACTTGCGGCAGCATTATTGGTGGCGCAGGATGAAGAAAGATATTGTTGCATATGTGGCTTGATGTTTGAACTGTCAGCAGGTTAAGTATGAGCATCAGAGGCCTGGTGGGCTGTTTCAGAGGATTGAGCTTCCCCAGTGGAAGTGGGAGAGGGTTACTATGGATTTTGTTACCGGACTTCCGTTGACTCGGAAGAAGTTCGATGCGATATGGGTTATTGTTGATAGGCTAACCAAGTCAGCACATTTCATTCCTGTAGCAGTCTCCTATTCATCCGAGAGGTTAGCTGAGATTTATATCCGGGAGATTGTTCGCCTTCATGGTGTGCCGGTATCTATCATTTCGGACCGGGGTACGCAGTTTACCTCGCGTTTCTAGGGTGCAGTTTAGCGAGAGTTGGGCACACGGGTTGAGTTGAGCACAGCGTTCCATCCTCAGACGGACGGTCAGTCTGAGCGGGCTATTCAGATTTTGGAGGATATGCTCCGAGCTTGTGTTATCAACTTTGGAGGTTCGTGGGACCAGTTTTTGCCTTTAGCAGAGTTTTCCTACAACAACAGCTACCAGTCCAGCATTCAGATGGCTCCATATGAGGCGTTGTATGGTAGGCGATGTCAGTCTCCAGTGGGATGGTTCGAGCCGGGAGAGGCTCGGTTATTGGGTACAGATTTAGTTCAGGAGGCCTTGGATAAGGTCAAGATCATTCAGGACAGGCTTCGTTCGGCTCAGTCGCGGCAAAAGATTTATGCAAATCGTAGGGTTCGGGATGTAGCTTTCATGGTTGGTGAGCGGCTCTTGCTCCGAGTGTCGCCCATGAAGGGCATGATGAGATTTGGGAAGAAGGGCAAGCTTAGCCCTATGTTTATTGGTCCCTTTGAGATCCTTGATCGAGTGGGAAAGGTGGCTTATAGACTTGCCTTGCCGCCTAGCTTGTCAACCGTTCATCCAGTGTTTTATGTGTCCATGCTTCGGAGGTATCACGGCGATCCAGCCCACGTGTTAGATTTCAGCACTGTCCAGTTGGACAAGGATCTGTCTTATGAGGAGGAGCCGGTAGCTATTCTAGACCGGCAGGCATGGTGACGAGTATCTCTACACCGGTGTCTAGCATGACCGTGAGTCCTTACCTGTGTTTATTTGGGATTCTGTAGTGACTCTTCCTTGTTTAATTGACGGTTGCTATAAAATGTGAACAGTATGAATAGGAAATATGGCTTGTAAACTCCTTGAAGCGTTGGCTCGAATTATGACTTGGTTAGAAAGTAAAAAATGAACGAAAGAGAAAGAGATGTAATTATTCCCTTGCCGGGACGTGTAAGTTATTGTCGTTGCTCCCTTGCCGGGAACTAGCTGTTACTTGTATTCTCCCTCGCTGGGATAGTTGAATTGATACTTGTTCCCCTGTCGGGAAACTTATAAATTACGAAATCGTGTGGCACGCCGACCACTTATATATTATGAAATGGGATCGTGTGGCACGCCGACCACTTATATATTATGAAATGGGATCGTGTGGCACGCCGACCACTTATATATTATGAAATGGGATCGTGTGGCACGCCGACCACGTATTCTGCGTTAGAAGAAATTAGTTGTAGTTTTCCTTATTTATTCCTACTGTTCTATTTTATCTGTTATCCCCAAAAGCATGTGTCACACCTCCTGTTTACTTACTACACCCGCAAAGGTATAATAGAGGGAGTTATTTCCAACTTGAAGTGACAATCGAAACGGGATTATTAATTAAAAATCAGAGTCGCCACTTGGGAGATTTATGGCGTCCCAAGTCACCAGTTCAATCCCGACCCGAGGAAATTATGACTCTGTTAACAGTCCGCGAACCAGAACTCCGAGTAAGGAATTCTGTTAACCCGGGAGAAGGTGTTACGCATTCCCGGGTTCCGTGGTTCTAGCACGGTCGCTCAACTGTTGTATTTGATTTTATCTGATTTCGAAATATGTTCTAGCTTATGTGCTTTTATTAGTAAACCGCTTTTACTTTTATTTTTATTTGATTTTTAAACGAATTGCAACGTCGTGAAAATGTGCCTCAAATCACGTCGCACCAGTGCACCCGTGATTGTTAGCACATTTCGACTTCGTTGAGATTTGGATTTGGGTCACATCAATGTGCACCCGAATTTAGGGAAGTAATATTATTAAAGTATGCGCCTAAAGCACCTACGCGTTTGGCTTTGCGAGGGCCATGAAATTTTGCTAAATGGCACGCCTCGGATTCTAATCATTTTGATATAAGCAATTAATGAGGGCCCCGCAATTTGTGTGTTCTATTTGGCGAGGCTCATCTCACGTTATTATTTAAAAGCCAACCTAAAGCAAACTAGGGTTTCTATTTAATTTGTCCCTAACAAAGTCTGATTAATTATTGTTAGTAAAACATCTTACTAAGACCTTTTAACAATTTTTCTTTCGGGCCTGAACTTGGCCCAACAAAAGAAATCTTAGCCAGCTTGGTGATTGGCCTGCACTTAGGCCTAAACGAGTGAGGAAAACGTCAATTGACACTGGGCCCCAAACGGATCCAGGCCCAGATATGACTTTAAAGGGAACAATCATGTTTTGGGCCTTCAACATGGCCCAGATTATTTTATCTTCAGTCTGTGCAGAACAAGCTCGACATTTCTCCATGACAATTGTGACTTATTAACTTGATTACCCAGGCAGATTGAACTAATTAACCAATGTATTTGAAATTGAATTAAACCATTAGAGAAAGACTAAACGAAGCAGCATGCTCGATACTGGACTCTGCCTCTGTACTAATATCAACTCATAATCTGTTTTGGATTTAATTTATGCTAATAGTTTAATTTCTAACTAGACTTGAATCAATTGAAGACTATTAACCTCCTGGACAACTTATTAATCACAGAAGAAGTTCATCAAGTACAGGAGAGGCTTATGACCTAAATCGTTTTTACAATCATGCTTCCCTTTTATAGAACGAAATCTAATTAACAGGATATTAACATTTACCTCACTATCACTGAGCAATCAATTCAAGCCTGTTAGTCTCACACAGTTCTAATTACACAATCACACCTAAATCGGAATTAAGCTACTATTGAACTATCAATATATAACAGTCCATATCAGTTCGAGACAGTCCATACGAATGGTCCAGTTATACAGTCCAGTTAACAGTCCAGTATTTACACACATACTACAAAATTGATTCAACACTTCAATACACCTATTTAACTATCAATACACCACAGTCCAAACAGCACACTTCAAGATCAAACAGATGAACATTTGTATTCCATTTCAAGCTTAATGTTACAGCAGGGCAGATTCAAATGTGTACCTGGTAATGGCAAATAAGAAAAGGAAAAGATCAGTAGCAGTGACAGTTTGCAACAGCAGCCCAGGAAGAAGTTGAAATCCAGTATTAACTCAATCAACACAGCAAGTTCAGGAATAGGATTGAAACTCCAGCAATGAACCAAAACATTAACAATTTCAAGCACCAATGCAGTCCAAAACCAAATCGATTACCCAGACTCAGTTTACAGCAATTCAAATAGACCTTAACGACTCTCTTGGCAGCTACTTCCACATATAGAACAGTATACTCGACAACCAGCTTATTTCTGATCCCAATGCTGAGATCAGTATTGCTTTGAAGGAATTTTTATGATTTTTAGACACTCTGTTTTATGCCTTTTAGAAGGGATTTAGAGGACTGCCCAAAAACCTCCCCAAAAAAAGAACCCCCTTCTCAAGGCAAATGAGTGCCTATTTATAGGTGAGCTTAAGGTCCAATTTCAGATTTTCCTTTTACCCCTTAGTCCCTATTCTAATTTCAGTGCTTACCCCTTTTTTTCTGACTTGTTACACAAGTAACTACCTTAAGTTTATTAGAACCTACACTATAGTCCATCCTAGAAGGTTCTATGCCCATTACAATCCCTATTCTATCCTTACCCCCCTTCCAAAATTACCAAATCTGATAAAAGTACCCTTTTCCCATGCCTAAACTACCCTTTGAATCCCATGAAATTACTGACCAAGTTAAACCAGTCCATTAACTACAACCAAGCAATCTGTTCCTAAGGCTGATCAAACTAGACAAATCAGCTAATCCAGGGGTTGAAACAATTAAAATCAAATTGCAGTAAACAATTAGGAGTCGACTAACTAAACCTAAAATCAAACCACTTAAACGTGTATGCCTACTGAGAATGAAGGACGAAATTTAAGCTAGATCCTGAACATGGACTTACTAAGGTAATTAAACTAAACTAAACTAATTGATTACCATTAAACAATAACAACAGTAGAGGCTCAATTACTGAAGAAAAGAAAAATTGAAATGAAAAGTGCCCTAAACAGTTAACGATTATCAAAACAAATTTGAACAAGTATGCAGAATCAGAACAGCATTGAACAGAACTTACCAATTTTGAGCACTCGACTGACTATGGGGCGAATTCTGACCAGCTTTTGTTGTGAATCCTCCGGGATTCTTGACACGTAACATCCCTAATCGTGTGTTTTCAAAAGAACACACATGATTAGGGAAATTACGGTCTAAAATCCCCAAGATTTTCTGAGCTAGGGTTCTGCCAGTCTAAGATCTAAAATTCGAGAAGCTCTGGCAAAATTCGAAAGATTTTGGTTAGGGATTAATGATGAGGGAGGGATGAGGGACATTTGGTACGAATTTGGGCCAGTTTGGGTGAGTTTGCGACTTGGCCGGAAACTTTGATGGAATATTCGAGGAGACTGGCTATGATTCGAGGGGAGCTGAGGGCATGGTTGGACAGGGGAAGACGAGGGGAGTCAGTGGTGTATTTTTGGTGGTCATCGGAGCATCGCCGCCGCCGGCGACGATTTCCGGCCGGCGGCGCTAGGGCGGAGGACGGCGGAGAAAGGCGGGATTAAGGTTTGTACGAGGAGGATGGGAATTGTCGTTGAGTTTTGTATAAAAGTTATTACAGTTTTATTACATTTTTGAGAGTCAATTGCAGCCACTGGATCTGGGGAGATGGATGGTCGTGATTAACGACGTCAAAACGACGTCGTTTGATCATGAGGCACTTGGACCGGCAGAGCATTTGGGCCTGGATGTGGGAATTTTGTTTGGGCTACTGAATTTGGCCCAAATTTGGTCTCCAATTAAGACCATTTTTAATTTTTCCTTTTCCCCTTTTTTTGGTATTTTTGTATTTATTTTTCTGATTTTATAAAATGCTAAAACAAAGCGAAGACCTAATTACACTATTTAACTCCTAAAATTACTTGTAACTCTATTTAAAAACAAATGCAATAATTAGTAATGCGATGAACTATTTTCTTGCAATTTTCTTTATAGTTTATTCTAAAACTAATTAATACTAAAATTGTGAAATTAAATCCCTAAATGCCAATGCATATTTTTTGGTATTTTCATATGGATTAAAATGCACAAATAAAAATGCAACAATTACCAAAGAATGCCAAAAAATTCACAACAAATTATAACATACTAGAAAAGTTGTTTTGTTTGAAATTTTGGGAATTATTCATATATAAGGCAAAAATCACGTGCTCACAGCATGTTCCCCTCCCAGTCTTAATTATTACTTTCCGCTGTTATTTTGTGGTGTTTGTATATATTTATATCTGCACAGGTTGATTGGTAGTCCGGTCTAGCCTCGTCACTACTTCGCCGGGGTTAGGCCAGGCACTTACCAGCACATGGGGTCGGTTGTGCTGATGCTACACTCTGTGCATCTTTTTGCACAGATCATAGTACCGGAGCAGGAGCCTTTGGACAGCAGTAGGAGCATTGGGAGCTGACTTCAGTCCAGAGATTCCCTAGGTAGCCTTCCTGACTCCGTATGGCCCGGAGTCTCTCTCATCCTTGTTTTTCGTTTGACTTCCTTTGTATCGGATAAGACAGTACTGTGTTTTATTCAGACTTTGTATTTAGCATTCTGTAGAAGTTCGTGAGTTAGTGACACCAGATCTGGGTAGAGATGTATTTGAGCTTCCGCACTTGGCTTCAGTTATATATGTTTTGAGACTTCCGCTTTTATATTATTTGTCTCGTCTTTCTTTATATTGTTGATGTTGTCAAGAGAAGTATTAGATTAATTGGCTTGCCTAGCTCCTATTAGTAGGCGCCATCACGACTCCCGAAGGTGAGAAATCCGGGTCGTGACAAGTTGGTATCAGAGCACTAGGTTGCATAGGTCTCACAACTCACGGACAAACTCGGTAGAGTCTGAGGGATCGGTACGGAGACGTCTGTATTTATCCCCAGAGGCTGCAGAGTTAGGAAAACTTCACTGTTGTTCTTTCTTGTCGTGATATTCTGTTTCCCAAATACTGATTGTCTTTCTACTCTGTTCTTTCGCAGATGGCGAGAACACGTGCTTCCTCTTCTACCGCGCAGCAGCCCGAGCCCCCAGTAGCAGCTCCTACGAGGGGCAGAGGGCGAGGCCGAGGCCGTGTCAGAGGCCGCGGCCGGGGCAGAGCTTAAACCCGAGCAGCAGTCCCAGAGGTGGAGCCTCATGTTGATTATGATGAGGAGGTTCCAGCCCCAGCAGCTCCGGTGGGCCCAGCTCAGGTCCCAGAGGGGTTTATAGCCACCCCAGTTCTTCAGGACGCTTTGGTCAGATTGGTAGGCTTTGTGGAGAGCGTCACTAGAGCGGGTTTGCTTCCAGTAGCACCAGCCACTTCTCAGGCTGGAGGAGGAGTTCAGACTCCTGCTACACGTACTCCGGAGCAGGTAGCTCCCCAGGCTCAGGTTCTAGTGGTTCAGCCAGCTGTGGCAGTTCAGCTGGGTATTGTGACTCAGACCGGCGATGGAGCGGCTATGTCCGCAGATGCTTTGGAGACTGAATAGGTTCACCAAGCTCTTCACCACCACATTCAGCGGTGCTTCTTCCGAGGACCCCCAGGATTTCTTATATAGCTGCCGTGAGGTTCTTCGGACTATGGGTATTGTGGAGACCAATGGGGTCGACTTCGCCACCTTTCGACTAGCAGGATCCGCCAAGACTTGGTGGAGGGACTATTGTTTATCCAGACCAGCAGGGTCGCCATCATTGACTTGGGACCAGTTTACAGAGTTGTTTTTGGAGAAGTTTCTCCCAGTTACTCACCGAGAGGCTCTTCGCAGGCAGTTCGAGCGCCTCCAGCAGGGCTCTATGACTATCACTCAGTATGAGACTCGGTTTATTGATCTAGCACGCCATGCTATTGTTATACTCCCCACCGAGAGAGAGAGAGTGTGGAGGTTTATTGATGGGTTGATTCAGCCGATCCGTCTCCAAATGGCTAGGGAGACGGGAGTGAGATTTCTTTTCAGGAGGCGGCCAATGCGGCCCGCAGAGTTGAGATGGCTCTTCCACGGGGAGGTGGTCATGGGTCAGATAAGATGCCCCGTCTTGCAGGTAGATTCAGTGGTACCTCGTCTGGGTGTGGGGATTCTTATGGTAGAGGCCATCCTCTGAGGCCCTTTCAGTCAGCCCTACAGGTCTCACATGGTACTTCAGGTGGTCGTGGCTCTCAGCCGCAGTCTTCAGACCAGCAGCTTTTCAGTTCACCATCAGCACCTATCAGCGCACCACCACTCCGTTATTCTCAGCAGCCGAGGGCTTGTTACACGTGTAGCGACACGAGACATATTGCCAGGTATTGCCCTCGAGCTTCTGACAGCTCCCAGCAGCAGGGTACTCGTCCTATGATTCAGGCATCAGGTGATCCACAGGCTGCCCAGCCAGCTAGAGGCGGAGGTAGAGATCATAGAGGTAGAGCTCGGACCGCCAGAGGTAGAGGCCAGCCAGCAGCTGATCGTCCCAGAGATATGATTCAGGGAGGTGGGGCCCAGCCCCGGTGTTATGCTCTTCCAGCCAGGCCAGAGGCTGAGTCTTCAGATGCAGTTATTACAGGTACTATACTGGTATGTGATAGGATGCTTTAGTGCTATTTGACCCTGGGTCTACGTATTCGTATGTGTCGTCATATTTTGCCCCCTACCTGGCTATTCCTAGTGATGCTTTGGGTATTCTTATTTATGTATCTACACCGGTGGGTGATTCTGTAGTGGTCGACCGAGTTCATCGTTACTGTGTGGTAGTGTTTGAGGGTCTCGAGACCCGTGTTGATTTATTTCTCTTAGACATGGTGGATTTTGACGTCATATTAGGGATGGATTGGTTGTCCCCGCATCATGCCATCTTGGATTGTCACGCCAAGACCGTGACCTTGGCTTTACCAGATTTGCCCCGTTTGGAGTGGCGAGGGACCCCAGGTCATGCCACTCGCAGTGTTATCTCATATGTGAAGGCTCGACGCATGGTCGAGAAGGGGTGTTTAGCTTATCTGGCGTATGTTCGCGATTCCAGCGTAGAGGTCCCTTCTATTGATTATGTTCCTATTGTTCGGGAGTTCCCCGAGGTTTTCCCTTCAGACCTGCCGGGTATGCCGCCCGACAGGGACATCGATTTTTGTATTGACCTAGCTCCGGGCACGCAACCCATTTCTATCCCGCCGTATCGCATGGCCCCGCCAGAGTTGAAAGAGTTAAAGGATCAGTTCCAGGATTTGCTTGGGAAGGGTTTCATTAGACCCAGCGTTTCGCCTTGGGGTGCGCCGGTGTTATTTGTGAAGAAAAAGGATGGTTCGATGAGAATGTGCATTGATTATCGGCAATTGAACAAGGTGACGATCAAGAACAAGTATCCACTGCCGAGGATTGATGATTTGTTCGACCAGCTTCAGGGTGCAAAGGTGTTTTCAAAGATAGACTTGAGATCTGGCTACCACCAGCTGAGGATTAGGGCGTCTGATGTCCCTAAGACAGCATTTCGCACTCGGTACGGGCATTATGAGTTCCTGGTCATGTCGTTTGGGTTGACCAATGCCCCAGCGGCATTCATGGAGTTGATGAACCGAGTGTTCAGGCCATATTTGGACATGTTCGTGATAGTCTTTATTGATGATATTTTGGTGTACTCCCGCAGCCAGGAGGAGCACGAGCAGCACCTCAGAGTGGTTCTTCAGACTCTGAGGGATAGTCAGTTATATGCCAAGTTCTCCAAGTGTGAGTTCTGGCTGAGTTTAGTAGCATTCCTGGGTCACGTTGTATTTAGCAGAGGTTATACAGTGGACCCGAAGAAGATGAGACAGTTAAGAACTGGCCTCGACCAGCATCAGCTACAGAGATTCGGAGTTTCTTGGGGTTAGCAGGCTACTATCGTCGGTTCGTGGAGGGGTTTTCATCTATCGCAGCCCCGATGACCAGGTTGACCCAGAAGGGTGCCCAGTTCAGATGGTCGGATGAGTGTGAGGCGAGCTTTCAGAAGCTCAAGACAGCTTTGACTACGGTACCGGTATTGGTTTTGCCCACAGGTTCAGGGCCTTATTCAGTCTATTGTGATGCTTTCCGTATTGGACTTGGTGCAGTATTGATGCAGGATGGCAGAGTCATAGCCTATGCTTCGAGGCAGTTGAAGATCCACGAGAAGAATTATCCGGTTCATGATCTA